CTGTCTGGATAAAAAGTCATCTTCGTTATGACCTGGCAAAGATTTGGGATTGGAATGAGAGCAGTGTCCTTGATCTATGAACATAATGTAATATTTTGACAAGCCTGGAGCCATGGATGTCTCCTCATTTACAAACTTGTGTGATGTAATGATGTGATGATTCGGCATATTGGAGTTGTATAAAATGCTTCTTTAACTTTGATTTGGGCCGAGTTCATGGACAAGCGAGCCCGGTTGGTAACCCTTGGCATTTTCTCTGGTCTGAGAAAGATTACAATTTCTGTTTTCACGTGTCATGATTATTTAATTCATATACATTATGAAGTGTTATTTAAAGAGTGATCTCTTCTCAGGAAAAGAATCAGAGAGAAATCTTAAAAATGAAAACACAGGGCTATCTTTTTAGATTTCTTAGGATAAGTGGATTATTAATATAAGAAAAAATATTGATGGCTTGAATTTTTTTTTTGTTGCCATTTTGATATCCCCCAGTTACCTTTAGTTTGAGAAAATAAGACTTTTAGTAGCAACAAGGCTGTTAGAAGTACTGCTGCTTGGTAAACAGCAGATGATGATGCTCCTCTCAGTTCCTGTTTCAAGTTTTACTAGATTCATTTTCTATCTCCTAAAAAATACTTTTAGACGCAGTTCATTTCCAAATAAATATTAAGATTTAAAAGGTATTTTAATTTAGCCACAATGAGACAGACCTCCTTCAAATACAAAAAAAAACTTAGCAGGAGGATCAATTTGAAAAGAGGAAACTTATTTATGTTTTTCAATTAAATGTTTAGAAATTCCCTGTCCAGGTTTATTTTTACCCTTCTAAATAATTAATTGACCTTTTTACTGGTAATCCAACTATTCAACCATTCTAATAAGCTATGAATCCATAACAATAATAAGTGTTTGCACCATGTACTTTATGTGCTTTAGTCATTTAATTTTTTTACAGTTTCTTGCCATCAATCAAATCTTAAGCTGCTTCCTTAGATGCTCCATCATTGCAAAACTCAAACGATATAACCTCTAGTCTGAAAAACAGATTGGCAAAATGAACGTTTACTTTACTAATGGAAATTATTAATTATGGGTCTAAATGTTTGATTTCATTATGTATGTTTTCCTTCTAAGCAGATACATACTTTGTACTCCATTTGACCAATTTACTATTGTTAGGCACACTCTGCAAAGCACAGCATGCCATCACAGTCTGGGAAAAAAATATAACTAGCAAAAACAGGTAAAGTTCAAAGAAAAAAAAAAATAGTTCAAGACCATTTAATAGAAACATCAGGAATATCTGGAGGCTTCATGACAAAAAGAAGGAGGATACTCAAAAACAAGAAATGGTGTTAAACCTTTGCACATTCCTGTCACTGAACAGTATTTTAGCTCGAAGTAGTAATTGTGTAACAGAAGAAAAAACCAAAAAATGATGTGCAATAATAATTTCATATCAAAAAAAGTTCTTCCTTGATCTGCTGTGTAATCATTTAATAATGTGATTTAAAAGAAGGGACTTTGAGACATCTAATATTTGCCTTCCTTCTCCCTGTCTGCAGGGGGCAAAAATGTGAGACGCCTTCTCTTTGTGTGGACGTATCCTCAGCTCAATGGATCAGCGCTTTTCAGAAAAGACAAGCAGGAACTCAGTCAAAGATGGATAGAAAGGGGTGGAGAGGAAGACAAAAGCAACCAGGAAAAAAAAGGGATACATAGTGGGAAAGGAGCGATGATCGGAGGCAGCCAAGCAAACCAGGAGTAAGCAATAAGGAAGGAGGTCATTTCAGATCAACGAGCACATCAAGGAGGAGGAGGTGAGGAAGGCCGTGGAAGGAGGCAGTGGGGGGAAGAGGAGTGGGGCTTGGTTGTAGAGTCACAGTCTCCAATGATCACTTTTGTGACTATGCAACTGGACTCATATTACTAGCTGCAACATCACAAAAATGACACTGGCAACCGCTAGTTAGCTGGTAAAACAGGAAAGGAGAAGCTGGGAGAGGGTTGGTAAGTAAGTCAGTCAGTCCAATGTGAGGACACACCATGCTGGCGAAAGCATACAGATAGAAACGCTACAGACATCATCTTCATCACATTGGGGCAAAGAAAAAAAAACACAGCACAGGTCATTTTTTTATTATTATTGTGAAATAAATGAAGTAATAAAGAAGAAAAATATGTCCCCAAATGATTCCTTCATTGTGCTCTGACCCTGCTGCCCTGTGAGTAAAGGCAATATTTCCAAGCTGATGGTGTGTGGCGACACCCACCAGACCCTTTATAAAGGCTGTGACCACCAACTTTAACTCTCGATATCCCACCTAATTGATATGAAGTGACACCAGGTCTATATATGAGACTAGGTTGGGGTCTATTGTAGGAGAAAAGCTGCAGTGAGTTAAAGAAAAAAGGCTCCCATCTATCAGACAATATAGTACATCAGTTTAAAAGTGTGCTAAGGTCAGAAGGAAGGAAGTAGCGGCACAAGTGAAAGATTACTTGGCTGAATTACCTCAATACACCCTCCGGTATACGTGGGAACCAGCCGGGATGATTGAGGACATTTCTCTCTCTGCATCACAGGGGCAGGAAACTAAACACTTGTTTTGAAAGATAAGGATGGAACAAATTCAGCTGTATTTTTGTTTGTTTGCTTCTCAATTTAGTTTGCTATAACCTTTTAAAATGTAGCATTTATTGAAACAACTATTACTCAAACAAAGACCGTACAAATGTTAGTGTTAGTTTAACACCACTTTTCCATGCAGATTGTAGGAAGGGGTCGACTTCAGTCAAAAAGAACAAACCAAACCATTTAAGTCATTTTAGGCATGCAAGATGTTCATGGAATCTTTATTTTCACAGAGAAAATCCCTCATGATAAACAAGATTCAATATTTTGATTCATTGTCGGATTTTTAACTTGCAAACAACTTAAGCAATAGTTTTCCAGGATTTCAAAAACTCTGAGGGATATTGGCTGATTTTTCTCTTAGTTTCCATTCAATGGTCAACTGAGAAGATTATTGAACGTATGATATCTGTTCGTCTTTAGCGTGATCTTACACAATTAATCCTTTAGAGTTAATCCCAAAAAAAAAAAAAAAATCCTTAAAAAACAATGTAATAAAAATAATACATGAAGCTACTAAAAACAAACATATTTTCTGCCTTGTGGTATATGGATTAGCATACAACATATATTAAGTAGAAATACGGTCTATGGAAATAATAGAAATAAAAAAGAAGGAATTGCGTTTCTCTGGTGTGCAAACCTCTAAACTAAAGCTGAACCCTTTGCAAGGAGATTCAAGGCATCAGAACAATTTCCGCTGTTAAAGGCATCAGTTAGGAGCGCAGGACAAATATTCATAGCTTTATTAGAGATTCGGGATCCTTTATTAGAGAAAATAAGTGATAAAAATTAAATCACAAAAAACTGGACCACCTACAGTTATGGGTGTGATCTACACCTGATCGTAATCTCCATACATGTGGGCTAAAGAAAAGGGTCTTTTAGATAGAGGCTTCTTTTTTACCCCAATAGAAACATCCAGTTGTGATTCAAATCTAAATGTCTAAAGGAGTTATAATCCAACCAAAACAAGCAAGAACTTTTGGGCCACAAACATAATGCATCAAAGGATAACCTTTCCCAGCGTGAAAATGATAATGGCATCATCATATTGTGGAGTTATTGCTGCTGATCAGGGAGTCCCCAGTAGAGAGAAACCAAGCTGGGGCTAAGAGACCATTTTTCAAAACCATCAGCATAAACCATCTGAGGTGTACAGAGAGCCATAGGCAACATAATAATAAAAAAAAAATGAATAAAATGAAAAGCATAAATATTAATTTCCCAATATATAATTAACTGACTATCATATGAATTAAATGTATAATAATTATATAAATTATAACAAAAAAATGTACATTTGTTTAAATTGACATTCCATACAATATTCAGATATATCACTAAAATAAAAAATAGACAATTAAACAATCAAATGTCACTTTAAACAAAAAATAACATTTTATTAAATAACATAAAATAGTTTCCCTCCATATAACTTGGTTAAATCATTGTATAAAATAATGAATATATGTAATATACTTTTAGAGGTCACAAGGTTCCCAATATGGGGTTGCAAATATCGGTCACAGTTATTTAGGGGAAGTGAATGTTCATGAAGCGCTGCTTTAGGTGCAACAGGAGTTTTTATCAAAGGTAATAACATCGTAAAGATCACCAAATGTGGGTCAGTTCGAAGATTATTCAGCATTGATTTGTTGTAATAGGAGTGTGTATATATATCTACTGTGATCGTAAAAAGTACTAAAAATGAATGACTGAATGATTGTTGTGTCCACACATAAAGGACAACATGACAAATATTCAAGTTGTTTATTTTACAGACTTAATCTAATAAATTAAAGTATTCTTAGCTGTGGCTTTAAAGCACTTTGATACCAATTTGAAAAGCTTTTTATTGTCTGAAGGTCTTATTTTAAGAGAATCCAAAACTTCTTCAGTTTAAGGACAAAACTTATCTTAGATTTTAGTTTTCTTTTATTAGCTGTGTTATGAGTATTTATTATATCAAAGTAAAATGAAAACAAAACAGCAATATCATACAGGAAGTTATTAGAAAGGAAGGATTTGCAGGACTTATTTGGATTTAAAGTGCACCTTGCACAAGCTCGTCTTTTCAATCAACATCAAAGGACAACAAATCAAAGAAAAATATTAAGTCTTTTTTAGCACATAAATAGAAATAAATATATAAATATGTTTGCTGTTCCACACACTTAGATTTTAATGCATTGTTTGTTTTCTTGGAAAATATTCAGTTCTTCAAGGACAGAAGCGTAATTTTAGTATTAAGTGTTTACCACAAACATTTGGATTTCAAAAATCAGTGACTTTAAGAAATAATGAGAGAAAATAAAAGGGAACTTTGGCTTTAAGTTTACTGACAAAGATCTTTAAAATCTACCTGCGGAAGTCAAGCAGGGTCCGGCTGGTCTCTGGGACGTTCTTGTTGAGCCAGGTCAGGAAGTGGAACTGAGTGACGGTGCGGGTCTCGTTGGTCTGCATGTTCTTCAGGTAGAAGCTCCGAACCAGGAAGTCGTCACACCAGATATGCTCAGACACAAGGTTTACCTGGAAGGGAAAGGCAATCAAGAAAACGCCAAAATGTAGGCATGATTCCAAAATAATAATCAAATTTCCTTTATTAAAAAACACCCTAATGTCATGTAAAGAAATAAAACATAGATAAATGGTAGAATGAGTCATTTTTAAGGTATCCTAATGACTTTAGTCCTGTTAGGGGTGCACTGACCTCCCTACTGTGCATCACAGAGTGGATTTCTTTGCAAGGTTAGGTTAACAAGACTTTTAAGGATGCCTTTAAGCATGCCTAAATTGTAGATATTTATTACTATAAAAATCACAGGAATACCTTGGATTTTTGGATTTTAAAAGCTGCACAAAGAGAGCTGACTTCGAGCCAGGCCCCACTCCATAACTTCTACACCATTATGGCAGTGCAGCTGCTTTGCACATTACCACCTGCCACCTCTCTGATTATAACCAACAGAAATAAACCATCCAATTGCAATAACTATTGCACGTTCTCACCAGGCTAGTAAATGCTATGGCACCATCAGCTGTCCTTTATTTGCAGTTTGGGAGCGAAGCAGAGAGTAGTTGTTCTTACGCTCTGCCGGCTGGTTTAGGAAGGAAAACAATGAGATGTGGTGGAAACTCCTGCACCTTCAGATACTGCTGCTGGCTAGCATATTAAAAGTATGAGTTTGTCATGTAATAACCCTTCCTCCACCACAAAAAAGCTTAAACTGTTTAATGGAGCCTGGAACTCTGTCATAGTTATGAAAGATAATTCAGCATTTCATGTTGAACCGAATGCAAACTCGAGGCCTGGAGCAGCAGCATCGCTCTTAAATATTGGGAGAAATATTTACAAACCTTTCTGAACAGTAGAACCTTCCTGAATGGTTTCTACTACAATACATCAATTCTTAGAATAACTGCATTTCAGATAAATAATGTCATTACAGCAGCTGAATGTGGTTGCAGAGTGATGGTTCTGGGCTGTTTTGCTGCTTAAGAACCTGGATGATAACTGAAGGATCATCAGATTGTGAATTTAATCTGAAGCAAACTAAAAGTCCAAACATAAACTATACTGTATTTATCCATGCACCTTTTTCTTCTTTTGGCACATTCTTGTTCTTTGATTATTTGAGCTTAGGTAACAAGTAAATTTATCCAATGTGAGATCAATCAATCAATCAATCAATCAATCAACCAATCAATCAATCAATCAATCAATCAATCAATCAATCAATCAATCAATCAATCAATCAATCAATCAATCAATCAATCAATCAATCAATCAAACCTAGTTGGGATGTAATGGTATTACAGCAAACATGGTGTCCATCCCTTAAGGTCCATCATTATGGCTATATTTAAACAATTAAGTCAATAAGAGTCAAAACTCCTCAAAATTAAGGCAAAAGCCCCATTGACTAACAGCGACAAACCAGTTATTAGGTATAAGGGGCAACTAACATTAACAAAAGACCAGTTCATTTTAAATAGCTTTGTTTTCCATCCATCCATCTTCCGCTTATCCGGGGTCGGGTCGCGGGGGTAGCAGCTTCAGAAGGGAGCCCCTGACGTCCCTCTCCCCAGCAACTTGGGCCAGCTTCTCTGAGGAAATCCCAAGGCGCTCCCAGGCCACCAGAGAAACATAGTCCCTCCAGCATGTCCTGGGTCTCCCCGTGGGCCTCCTCCTGGTGGGACATGCCCGGAACACCTCACCTGGGTGATGTCCAGGAGGCATCCTAATCAGATGCCCGAGCTACCTCAACTGGCTCCTCTCGACGTGGAGGAGCAGCGGCTCTACTCTGAGTCCTCCCCGGATGACTGAGCTCCTCACCCTATCTCTAAGGGAGAGCCCAGACACACTATGGAGAAAACTCTTTCAGCCTCTTGTATTTAGGATCTAATTTTTTCAGTCATGACCGAAAGCTCACGACAATAGATGAGGGTAGGAACGTACATCGACCAGTAAATCGAGAGCTTTGGTTTTTGGCTCAGCTCTCTTCACCACAACAGACGGGTACAAAACAGACCAGTGCACGCTTTACAGCAGACGCCGCACCAATCCGCCTATCGAGCTTCCGGTCCATTTTCCCCTATTCATGAACAAGACCCCAAGATACTTAAACTCCTCCACTAGGGGCAGTACATCCACCCCAACCCGGAGAAGGCACTCTGTGCTCTTCCGACTGAAGACCACGGTCTTCACACTCTTCACGCTTCACACTCGGCTGCGAACCGCTCCAGTGAGAGCTGTAGATAACGTCCTGATGACGATGATGTTTTCCTTACGTAATTAAGTCATTTTAAAACTCTCGTAATCAGTTTATGTTTGCCTGTAGTAAAAATTTGAAAATCTAAAGGAAAACAATATTTTCTTTAAAACAGTGTTTTTGAGGTGATACAAAATAGATGCTTATGATTTTTCAGACCAAATAATTGGTGCAATATGAGAGCACAATGTCTAAGGATCCTCATCTACATTTAAAACCACATAAACCGAACTGAGGTGGAAATATCTGATCTTTAAACACTTTAAATGACAGTAAACCTTGAAAAAATGATTACCATAGACATATTTATTGCTCTACTTTTCAACCTCCCCTTAGGATCAGCATTGTTCGTTTTCTAGTTATATAAACTGTTACATGCAGTAGCTTATCCAGCGAAAAAAAACCTGTATCATGATTTATCTAAAAACCTTTAGCTTTGGAGACTCGTGATATAGACCTGATTTATTCATTTGGATTTCTTTCATTTGCAGCATCATTCCCAGCTATGAGGAAGGTGGTGAAAAAAAGGTTGTACAGACATAAGAGGAGCTTCGTTTACCTCGTAGATGTGGTATAAGTTGGATCCTTCATCAGGCCAGTAATGGTAACACTGCTTCACACCGTTCTCTACCAGAGGAGTCAGCATAACGATGACCACACAGCCATTCTCCCAAACCATCTGCAAATAAAACACATGTGCACTTTGAAGACTTTATCCTTTTGCCTCAGATTTATGAGATATTAAGCATTTTCTTAGAAACTATAATTCTGAAGCTGCAGAGAACTTTATAAGGAACACCATCTCATCCGAAGCTTAACAACACCCTCTGCAGTCTGCCAATAGTGACTCCGATCGGATCTCCACTTACCCACTCACTTGTATGTTGGTCTACATTTAGGACAAAACTCTGATAGCTATCGTTTTGTAAAGACGGATGAGTCTGATACGTGGGTGGGAGGGAAAAGAAAGCCCACGCTCTCAGACTTTGCTTAGAAATCAAGCTCTATGAAAAGTAATTATTGTTGCTGTAAGGGCTGCTCTGTCCCTCAACTGGGTCATTCAACGGTGAAAAGCTGGCTCGCACTGTTTTTTTTCCTGATGGCGGCCATATTCTCACAGCTGGGCGGGCAGGCCTGCTCAGGAGATCCATTCCTCTCTGATCAGAGATAACAGCTAACCATTAATGGAGGCAATAAAACAATACTGCTCTCACATGACTGTGTAAGATAATCATGATGGCTGCACATGCAGTTCATTGGATGGTGATTTAACTGATGTTAATTGCTGCCGCTTCTGATATACTGCCCCCTCTTCCCCCCCTTCTTTCGACTCCCCTCTGCTTTACTGATTAGTCTCGCGGATCCAAAGCCGTGACGTTGCTCTTTTTTGAGAAGTGCTGTTAATTTATTTTAGCTGACAGGGTGAGAACTTTCCTGGAACTGGGTAGAAAAGCTCCCTTAGTAAAATATAGATTTTATATAAACCCATGTTTTCCAATGAAAAGTAGGTTTAATGTTGAATTCTTTAGAACAACAGAGAAGTGGACCTGCAACATGATGGATGCAATGTTCATTTTCCAGATGGATCATCAAAATAAGTGGTCCTCCTAATTGTCAATCATTCTGGCGATATGTCTACGTAAGGCCGTCATACGTGCTCGTCCCCATTTTCACTTTTTCCGTGGTGAGTCTGACATAGTGTAAAAATTGCAAATTTTCTTTAGGAAAAAAAGCTTGTATGAGCGATCCAAAGAGCAACAGAGCGTGCATAAGGAGAAATCGGACTGTGCATGCTCTCTCATGCCTTTAATAGGCGAGCCCTCTCAGGAGCGGCTACAGGGTTGGACATGTGCTTTTTTTTTTTCAAAGTGAAGAGGCCTATTGAGAAGGTGGGTTGAAAATTAGCTAAGAACCTCCACTACACCTTTAAGTTACTCTGAACTTTAATCTCTTTAACTTGGTATTAGAGATGCTTAGATATCATTTTTTTCTCTCCCGATACTGACTTTCCAAAACTAGTATCGGAATCGGAAAACTCCACTTGATATGTAACTTTACTTACAGTTTTACACCTTGCCTTAATATACATTATGTTATATGTTATGTACTCTTCCTAATCATTATGTTTCCGAAACAGACTGCTATTTATCAGCGATGTTCTAGTATTTACCTTCATGTGTCCTTTCATTACAAATGGCCAAGGCCCTTTTTTTGGACCTTAAAGAGACATTATTTACATTTTCACAAAAAAAAAATAGCTTTAATATAGCCCTTTTGTTTTACCCTTTTCAATTATAACAATGTTTGATGAGCAGACTGACACCTCAGTAAATCACCGCAGGCTAATTTGTGTGCCTGTAGCCTATTTCCCTGAATGTACTTCGTGTCAGAATTGAAGACAGTATGACAGTTGTCTAAATCAATTGAGTGGAATTAGATTAAGCTACACTGAAATTGAGCAGATTTTTGTTTAATTTGGTTGAAATGGACTGAGGTTTATTTGAAATAAACTGAATTGATGATACATATATGAATGAACTGGATTTGGACTCTTTTAATTTATTTGGAATATGATTAAGACTTTTATTGAAAACCATAAATTTTAAGGTGAATGAGATTCATGTAAAATGGGTGGAATTCAGTTTGTCTTTTGTTTAATATGGAAGTTATGTCCCCCTGAAGGCAGCTGCGCCTCGGAACTTCCCTACCGGTTCTTTTACTGGGAGCAAGTTATTTACTACTCTTAACTCAAACTGGGTAAAACTAAATAAAAAAGGACTATAAAACAGGAGTAAAAAAGTAACAGCGTATTATTCCAGGTCAGGAATAAATGCACAATAGTTTTAATCGGTGTAAATGTCCTGGAATGGAATTACTTTGTGAAAAAAATGTATTCCAATTGCACTTCCTTTAAATGATGAACAATAACACTCTGAATGAATTTAGATTGAACTCAGACAACCAGGAACCCACTTCTTCAGCTTTAAACAGATAAACTGTCTACTGTACTATTGAGAACTGCTTATAATCGCCTAATATTGGTTTGCAAGTATTGAATAACTGGATTAAATTCAGTATAATTTATGTCAACCATATCAGAAATTAAACAAATCAGAGTTACATAGAGCCTAAAGTGAGTTAAACCTTGATGGATCCGGTTTGAAATGTTAACCATCTTAGTTAACAATAATTAACTGTTTTTTCTTTTTTTTTTTTTTGTTCCTTAAACTTCCTTTTTCATTTAATATATAATAAAATAGATTTTGCATTATTTTGTTTTTTTGTTTGTTCAAGGATTTCTTTCCAGAAGAGTGGGACTAATTAAAAGTATTCTACCCTGAAATGCTTTCCTTTCCGTCTCTTGTTCAGTTAGCTGCACAACTCTAAATTGAACAGAGACTCTACTTGTTTGACAAGGCGACCTTTCCTACCAGCACAAACACCTACCAAGACCAGCTAAAATAACTTATCGATCCTCTGCCCTCCAATTCAAACTCAATCCAACATTTGAGACGCTGGGAAAAGGGTTTGCCACCTCCTACATTAACGATGCATGACACTGTCAGCTGCTGTACATGTTTGTGCGTGTGCAGCTGTAGTTAAGGCAATGAGCGTTATGGGCAAGGAGAGACTAATAATGACATCCACAACACAAGCCTGTCTCCAGCGTGATATGCTGCTCTAATAAAAATTGGCTACCTCTTGTTAAAAGGGGGGTTGTATTGATTTTTCTTCCCATGGTGTATATGTGTTGTGCACACAGATTGTTGTGTGTCTTTACCTGCCAGAAATCAGCCACAGTGGAGGGCAGGGGACCTTGAGTGGCGATGTAAGCCGGGTTCCTGGGATCATGATCCATCTGTGGAAAGATAGGAACAGAGAAAAACAATCATTTAAGAAGTAATTCAACAAAAAGGGAAATAGTCTACTTCCTACACAACTACAAACTTGGGTTCATTGTAAAGGATTTTACATGGTAAACCAACCTAAATAGTGAGTAAATGCTATCTAAATATAAAAGTTTGGACTAATTATATATGAGAACCACCAAATAAATAGGTCTAATTAAACCTCATTTTAAGTCACGCTTGTCTGTGGAGACTGTTGGAAAACACCAATGAACAAACAGCCTCATAAAGACAAAGGAACTCTGTATACGGGCAAGGAATAAGGTTTTAAAAAAGGGTCAAAAAGCTCAGAGGTATAATAGAGAATCTGTGCGGATCCACAGCTGAGAGAACTTGTTGTCAGGAAAACTGATCATGTTTTCCACAAATCTGACCTTTATGGAAGAGTGGTAAGAAAAGGGTTGTTAAAAAAAGGCTGGTTTGCAGTTAGTCAGAACTTAGACAACTTTTATTGTCATTTTGTATACGCAGAGTGTATACAAAACAAAATTCCGTTTAGTACAGCTTTTCAGACAGTAAATGAACATTTCCATTCAGTGAAGTAGAGATAAAAGAGTGTGAAGAAAAAAAAAAACATGGTTCAAAAACCAGAGCATTATATGGTGCAAATATGCAGTATTTTTGGGATTTGTGTTATTAGAGTTTTGTATACAGTGTGTACAAAACAAAATTTAGTCTTAAGCAGCAGTTTAGCAGTGAAATGAACATGCACAACGCATGTCACACACCACCACAGAAATTATGTGGAAGAGAATGGACTGGTCCAGAAGTTCTAACACTGCAGTTCTATCTGAAGACACCGTATCGGCTGCACCATCCTGTGGGGATGCTTTTCTGCAGCTCTCACATGGAATACTAGATGGAACGAGGCATTGAGATAAATCCTGGACAACTCCAGAGCAAAGCCATGTCATTGACTGCAAGATACCTGAGACTGGGCCGAACCTTCCTACATCACTCTGGATTAAGGGTGTGCAAAATAATCGTCAAATCGATGCATCGTGATTCTAATTTTTGTGATCTACTGAATCGATTCTTGAAGGCAAGAATCGATTATAAAAAATAAAATAAAAAATGAACAAATAAAATACATTAATGGTTGGCGCACATCAATCAAATCAAGTGAAATACCACTTCCAGTCCAGCAGATGTCGCTGCGGATGTGTTGACACCTGCTGCTTTGTGTTGCAAGCATGTCCAGCCTTGGGATACTGAGACTAGTCATTCGTAAACAAAATATGGAGGAGACTGAGAAAATTCGCCCCCCAGCTCCATCACATTTCAAGTCAGATGCTTGGATGCATTTTGGCTTTAAAAACAAAGAAGGTAAAAACGAAATTGATATGAAGCACGTAATTTCCAAAAGGGGAAATGTCAAACATTTGAATGTTTGCATTTCATTGGTTTAAAAGACCACTGAGGCCATGTAAATGGCACTGATTATCCTCATTTTGTTATTTTAAGTTTGATGAATCCTAAGATCTTTTTGTTAGTGTGTCCACGCCAGTAATAGTAATACTTCTGTCCAGTATTTGTTTTCATGACAACACCTCGAAAAGTAATTTCAATAAATACAGCTATGTGTGAATTCAGTTGCTTTCAGTTATGTATCAATTGAAGACACTATCCAGATCATACACAGCCAGTCAGCCACTGGTAAGGGCTGTATCTTTTTCTTACAGTGTTCAGTGAAAATATCCCAATGCATCGCAATATTTCAAGTATCGTGATGCATCGTAATAGAATCGCATCGTGGCATGTGAATCGTGATTCGAATCGAATCGTGACTTCTTTGCCAATACCCACCCCTACTCTGGATTATGTTGCCACTGAAATTAGCAATATAAATAAACTTGCCTTGCCTTGTCTGCAACCTTAAACATACAGCCAGAGCTAAAATGAAAAAAATGTATATCAAAGCAAATTCTACAGTTTAAGTCAAGGCCCAAAACTTTATCCAGTTGTGAGTGTGCAACACCACTTGCACATGAATGTTTACAGAGGTTCTCCATCTAATCCAATAGAACTTTAGCTATTGTGCAAAGTGTAATGGACAAAATATATACCTTTTCATGTGCAGTGTTAAAAGAGATTCTCCCTCATCTGTTTTTGCATTCAAGGTGGTTTTACAGAGTATAAGCTGAGACTAAATCTGTTTAATTCACATAGTTCACATAATTCATATAGTGTCAGTTTTCCAAGGTCTGTCAAAAAAAATGGCCTTGACAGATAATTTTATATTTATTTAATGGTTTACTGAATAAAATATCTTCAGTATAAAAGTGCGTTCAAGCTGCCTAAGTTCTTTTCATTTTTGATTTATAATTTTACCTTTGTCATAGCAGTTTTCTACATAAAGTATTAAGAAAATAATAAGTATTTCTTTTGGTCTATGCCCAGGTCCTTTATATTAGAAAGAGAGGGGGAAACAAGTGCAAAAAGCATGATGCCTGAAACTGCACACCTTTATATGTCAGTCAAGTAAGGGAAAAAACTAAGACAGCGACATTGTAGGCCCTCCCTGGATTGATCCATTTTTGGTTGAATCAGTACATCCTGTACTGTGTCACAGCTCGATTTCTCGTTTCCACATTCTCCTGTTCGCAGCTGGAGGCTTTGCCGAGAAGAGGCTGAACAGGAACTCATACTTCTTTTCAAACTTAATGAAAAGTGCAGAGCGAGGGCGTAGGCGTCGTGAGCAGAAGACAGCAGACGGAACGCGAGCAGAACTACCGAAGGAAGTGAGTGACACCCCTGCTTATTAGCATGCAAATTGTACGGTAAATGTAATAATTGGCGAGACCAATTTAGCTGGAGGCAATTACAGAAGGAAGACGGATAATTTCTCGGGCTTTTCCGCACACCAAATTGTCTTTAATGGTTCTCAGTGGCTTTTGTGAATGCCAAACAATAATGAATGTCTAATGAACTTAAAAGGTAGTAAGACAGTGGCAGAAGAGAGATGAAAAAAAAGGTGACATGCTGTTGAGGGGGTTCTGCTCATTAAAACATCACCTAGAAACGCAGCACAGAGAGGAAATCATTTGAAGGCGGAGGCCCACAGGTTTACATCTACATTATCCCACGGTTACATGTATTTTTATTGTTCTCCTCTTTGTGACAAGAAGCTTTCATAAAAGAAAATTCAAATTATTTCAGAGCTTATTATGTTTCTGTCACGAAAACCTCACATTATCCCTTTTTTGTGTAAAGATGCAGCAAATGTCTATGAAGAACAAGTGGACCAACATTTCTTTGAGTAAAAACATGTTAGGTTTGTTTCTTGGAATATAAAAACATTTATTCACCTGCGTTTAAACATTTGCTCATTTATGAAATCATAAAAAAGCCCTTCTAAAGTCAGCTTCTGAGTTTTCTTGTTGCTTGTGTGAAAACTTAGCTAAATTGTGCTTCAAAAAACATAATAAGACCTTACAGCACCTGGCAGTATGAGCTCTCCAGATATTCTGGCTGAGCTCTTTTGCTCCAGAGATGTGATCAGCTGCCCAGGGACTTTTCAGATTAAAAGTTCATGCAGGAAAAAGAAAAAGTGAGGACATTCACTGTATGTGGCATAAAAAAGAAGAGAGAAACTACAAACTGGACAAGACAGATGAAGAAGTTTAAAACTGAGGGATGTAACTTATAAATTGGTAAAACTGACAGAAAAATAGAAAAAAAAAAAAAAAAAAAAAGATGCCCCCCCCCAAAAAAAATAAACCCAGATCAGGAAGACCTTCTACATGTCTTGATTCCCTTATATCCCTTTTTTGTCTTTCAGTCTCAGCAAAGACACAATGTTTTCTGGCCTGTCGAAGTTTCTCCAGAATGAAAACCTACCATTACTGTTGGAGGAAAAGGACAACTGTCTTTCTTACTGTCTTTAACAAAGAGCAAATGTGACACGTGTAATTATTCCTGCTGCTGGGTTTTTGTCTCTTTCTTTCTGAGACAGAGTCAAATCCTGTTCCTGGTTCCAACATTCTCTGCCTTAACCGTTGGAGGTTTGATCATGAGGGAGGCTTTTATTTCTCTAAGTTTGGTCTTTAAGGATGTTGACTGCTAGCGGCTGCAGGAATGAGCTTTACTGACTCAATTTTAAGAAAGAAAAATACTTTTACAGGATATTTCCGAGTCAAATTAATCATAGAAAAATATTTCTATTTGCTTCATCTCCTAATGAATTGGGGTCTAACATACCAGACCAAAGCAAGATACAAAACCATGAGTTTTCATTCACACCTAGATATGATTTGCATCATTTTTTTATTACTTGATAATGCACAAACCATCTTCTGAGTCTATCCTTGATCTGAATGACTGAGACTCTTTCAACTGCTTGTTGCAGTGATATTTCTGGTTCTAATGTTTGTTCTTGTGACATCAGCTTCCTGAAAAGAAACAAATTTAAAAAGTGTTCTCTGATTTGTATATAAACCAAAGTACAATACGGTGTCATGATCGCAGCCCCGGTAGCTTATCTGATTACTCACTTCATTCACCTGCCGTTCCCTCCCCGCTCTCTAATTATCATTTATCTTACTCACCTGCTCCCTCTGATATATTCGGTTCAGCCCAGCTATCAGGGCCAGATCATTATTAGTGTGTTCTTAGTTTATTCAGTTATTCTTTGTTTGTGTTATGTTGTCGTGTCAGTTATTCATGCTTGTTATTTGAGTTTTATTTAAGTCCCCGGTTCATGTTTCCGTCTGCGAAGGCCAGTGGATTGATAGGGTTAGGTGTTTGTCTCCTGTCTCCTGATCGTGTCCCACTTCTTCTCCACTGAGCCCTCATGGCTTTGGCCCGGTGTATTGAGGGTGCGCGGGTTCTGGTCCTTTTCAGCGGAGCCCTCAGGCTTTTGGCTCAGAACGTGGGGGAGGTAAGTTTTAGTGCCATATGCCTGGCTCCAAGGAGGAGACCAGTTTATCCTTGTACCATGTCTGTCTATGTTCCTTTCTACCATTGAGCCATCCTGTTTTCATCTGTGCGTGTCTGTCTGAGCATGCTGCTGGTCTCATAGAACTGCCTTCACGCTCTGTATATTCCTAGAAACCTCGATCTGTCTACCTTCACTGAGCCCTTAGATTTTCTCAAGTTCCTCTTGTTCTTTTTTCTGACGTTTCCATCATTTGGGATGGCCACATTCATCACTACAGTTATCCCCCGCTGCTTATCAATTATCACAATACCCCGTTGCTTGGCCACAACAATTTTATCTGTTTGTATCTAAAAGTCCCATATGATCTTAGATGTGTCATTCTCCACCACCTTTAGAGTCGACTCCCATTTCGACCTGGGTTTTTATTCCATTTTTTACTCTGCACAGATGTTTCTGTACACTATACCAGCCACTTGGTTATGACTTTCCATGTTCCCTGCTGTTAGATTGTGGATTGCTTTAAGCATGCACCTGGGATATTACCTGGTATGCTAGATCTGGGTCTCTATTGCTCTAGTCCTAAATATCTGCTCCATTTGCTGTCATGATCAGTGCTTCTGTGCTGCCCCTAACCCCGGACCTCTCTGGCCATTGGAAGGATTTTGTCATATCAGTTACTTAAGCTATCTGTTGGTGGAACATTCCATGTAGGATTTTTTTTTTCTTTACATGATGGTTTCCTCCATTTACTTTGATTCCAGTTACTGAGTGCCTCATCCCTTGGGGCTAACTTCCTGATGTATTCTTAAGTGTTTCATCTCCAAGCATGGCTCTGATGCTTAGCCTGTGGACACTAGATTTGGGGTGGAATCCGCCAAGCATGGTAAGTAGCTTTCATTTTTTAACATCAGTGTCCTGAATTTCCTACTTATGCCAACCTTTTATCCCAGTAGGATATCTGATTACTGGTAAAGCATAGCTGTTGATTGCCCTGGTCTTGTTCTTACCATTGAGATGATTTCTTAGAACTTGCCTTACTTGTTGCAGGTATTTGGCTGTTGCAGCTTTTCTTGTGGCTGCTTCATGGTTGCTATTTGTTTGAGGTATTCTAGGTATTCATCGGTGTGTTTTTATTGGCTGTTCTCACCTGAAGCGTGATCCCTTCTTTGTGGGCTGCCTTCCCTCGACCTTGCAGCAATCCGGCCACATTTCTCCAGTTATTTGTGTGTGTGTGAGTATATATATATTATATATATACATACATACTGTTTATATAATATTTAACTATTCTAAACTATAATAAAATGATTGAATCTCATCAAAACCAACCACTTTATCAGAAATGACAGCAGGGAATCTAATTATATATACCTCATCAGCCAATATATTTTTAACAAACAAGTTTTATGGTTATTGACAGGCTGTTGGAAGAAGATCCCATACAATGTGTTTGGTGGAGGCGTGGGTGAGCAAAGGATAGAGGAATTTCCTCAAATAAGCGCAGCATCCACCCTACGTTCCCATACAGTGCCGCTTTATTAATAGAGCGTGTGGGAGGTGGGAACGTACGCCTGACAGTGATCGTGTGTCAATGTGTGGTTTTGCATGTCTGTGTGGGTGTTTCCCCACACTTACTTTCTTTTATGTCATCTGTGTATTTGTGTGCACAATTTAGTGCTCTCTGCACGTGCAGGCTGCCAGAGTCTGCGCTCCTCTTCTGGCATATGTGGGTACTTGTGTTGGATCTCTTGTTGCATTTGTGATGTTTGACAGAGTTGCCCTTTTGTTCTCATATAGTTTTGATTCCCTCAGTTTCTCACTGACACAAACCCACCCACGCACACACACACACATACACTTTTTTGGTGTGGCACTAAGATTTGAAATGCATAGTATTTCTGTTGCTTTTAATGGAATACCAGTGTATCTGCCTCGAGGGAAGCATAAACCTGCTATTCCAACACTGGTTTCCAAATTGATTCCCTCACTTACTGAATTCACATGGCTCTTTCTTTTCCCCCTTTTCCTTCCTACAGGCTGCTTTCGCTCCTTAAATCAGAACCGTGCAGTAAGCGGGCCTCAGCATGCTGAGCACAGCCGCAACAGTAAACAGAAAGTATTGTTGAATTAGCATAACCCAAGGTCAGAAACAATAATTTCCCAAGACCCCACAGATCAATTTGGGTTCCACAAATGTAAAGCAAGTCATGTGCATGTCATTTCTCTGAACGAATACTCGCCTGGGGTGTTTGCTGTATAGAAACCATTAATATTCATAGCGGTGAATGTGGGCAAACTGTGAGCCTGCCACTGAAGCCAAGCAAGCGTTGCATCAAAATTTACATTGGGCAGCAGTAGGCTGCTTGTGCTGCCGTGATGCCTCACGGGGGACTGCGGGGGGCCGACGTGCAGCGGTGTGAAATGCAAAGTTTAGAAAGCAGATAAGGTGCTTACAATCGGGCTGGCATTGATGTAGTCAGAGTTGCCTTGGCTGTTCTCCACCTTCAAGGTGATTCTGGAGTGATCATCTGGAACAGAAAAATATGCGATTCAGCACTTTTTGTCTTCCTAAAGCAAGTTTTTTTAAGCCCACACTGGGCTGTAATGAAAGCAGGATTTTTAGATGACAGAGAGTTTTTTAACAAAAACTGGATTTTCTTTTGTAATGTGTCAAGTTATAGAGTTATAGCTCACAACCAAGGCTTTGAATTGATAAAACTTGAGATGCTCTTTGCTTTTGCTTGAAGTTTGATGGATTAATCCCTGAATCTCCCATTCATCCAGAGAGATCTAACAAATTGACACCATACTTCAAACTTTCTGCACCGAAGCTCTGAAACTCTGATGTGTTAAAGGTTGAATCAAAGAAAATTCACACTGATTCAACCGAATACAGAAATATAAGTTAAAATCCAAGGAATTGGTAGGGCTGTAGTGGTTATGTGTGCATCCAGTGACTTCCTTTTTATTTTAAGCAGACATACTGCTTTTGTTCGTTTCCTTTTACGTTTTCTGATTTTGAACAAGTCGTTTCTCTGCAGTTTAACTTAAAATGCATTTCTTTTTTCACCCTTACAGAAGCTTAAGGTACTTTAATCTGGAAACCCAATTTATTCCCAACAAACCACCTTCCCTGTTCACAATCTGGATTTCATTAAGCCTTGGCCTGCTGCAGAGACTGGGACAGCAATGTTTTTTTAGATGGGGCCACTTCCACAACGGCTTAGAAATTTTAATCATTAATGAGGCCTATGCAGGAGAGCTTTAATAGAAAACTAATTTACAGTAGAACCCTTTCTGCTCACTGCATCTGCTCCCATTTTCTGATAATGGAGGAAAGGGAAGAAAACAGAAAGGGCTCCGTGTTTAAATATAAGGAAGTACAATTTAGTTTCCCCCAGCTTCATATCATATTAAAGAGTTGTACCTCAGAACTGTTTAGGACTTTACCACAACACGCATCAAGGTAAAAAATTCAGTTTTAAGCAATCCTTACATGCCACCACAGCAGTGGAGCGGTTTTTCTTTGAATTGCCATTCTTCAGGCCAGTAGTAGTTGCGTTGGGCTCAGCCTGATATGCGCACAATGCCTCCCACTCCTTCTCCAGTCGATCTTTATTCTTCAGATGATCTTCCATATAAGACTGAAGAAAGCAGAATACAGAGATAAAGGACAGAAGGTTAGACAGGAGTTGATTCTCAGTATGATAAAAAAAAAAAAAAAAACATTTTCTCACATGAAACAAATCAAATAATGTAAGCCTGATATTACACAATAGAACAACATTTAATTCACTATTAAATATGAATGATGATATGCGGTTTCAATCCATTTTCTGTAATCTGACACCCAAGAATAAAATCCAGTAAAGTCAGTTGCCTTCAGGGGTCAACTAGATTGAGGGAATTTGTGCAACTTAATGCCAGCTGTTCTGACATTACATTAATCACACCATCCACATTTACTGTTATTCAGTAGGGATGCTGTTATTCAGTGCAAACAAAGGAGCTCCACCCGGACAATGGAAGGACGGAGCTAAATACAGAGCAATGCTGGAGGAAATCCTAAATGAGGTTCATCTTCCACCAGGAGAAACCACTAAGACATAGCGCCCTGGCTCCAATGGCTGAAAAATAACAAAGCAGATGCATGTTTTAGTAATACCTTAATATTCTAAACTAAATGATCTTTATAGATTAATTATAGAAATTATAGAAAGATTTTGGTTGAACTTGTGGCGATTTATAAATAAAATTTGGCAAAAACTAAGAGAGGATATGTGTGCGACGCTGGCAAAGTCATACCAGAAAGATCTTCAGCTGGCAGGAAAAGGTAAGGAAACCTTTTGGAAATCATGTATACCCTTACTAGTGTTTGGTTACTACATAAAACTGTAATAAAATAGATAAACTTTTAGCTTATAGTGTCACAGGAATAAAACTACGATATAAGTCCTTGATAATCTATTTAATTTTATTTGGATTTTTTTTATTTGATTTTAATAGAGTTCAATTTAACATATGATCAAAGACAAAAAAGAAAAAAGTCTGACAAACTGCTTGTTGGAGAACGACCAAAACAGACAACAGCATGTCCAAACCAGTACTTTGGTTCATTTATGTGAACAAATCAGAAATAATGACTTCTGCTTTCCTTCTAGTTGGAAATGATTGTCCCCAACATTGGAGAACTGATGAGAACTCCAATATGATTTCGCTACTAAGTAAACAAGTGATCAAACTGAATCGGTGCAATTATAAACCTCCTATTTTCTGAACCGCAGTTTCTCTTCTGATGATCTTCTCTGAAGATTTAAGGAAAAACAAATCATTTGGACACCTCATTAGCCTCATATCTAAATGCCCACACGCATAATTTCTTCAGTTTATTAGATGCACCAATGTCATTTTAATCACTGTGCGCCTGTTTAATCTACTCCTGCTCCGAGTCATGATGACCAGTTTCATCCTCCTTATTACCTACATTCAGCCCGTTTTCATAATTAAAGGCGGCAAGGTGACTTTGAACAATTGCCCTTAGATTAACTTGGCGCAAACCCAAAACAAGTGGAAAAGTCGTCGCTGGCTGTATCTGATGGTGGAGAGGTGTAGCCTTGTTTCAGAGCAGAACTGGGAGTCAGCTGCAAATGCATACAAAATACGGGCCTTCGTCTTTAATAGATGAGGGTCCGAAATTAGGCGGGGTGGTTCTTTAAATGGCTCCACCGATGATTTATGGTGACAATTACAAATGAGTAGCTTATCTTAATCAGAATTAGCTTCCAAAAAAAGGCGAAATGGCTCTGAACTGAAATGAAAGAAGTTTGTTAATAAAATAGGAAGCAGCAGTTGAGTAAGATGGAGGTAAACCGGGGCTTTAGGTCTTTCTAGCTACTGTGTGCGCAGCGGGAAGATGACATGCACAGTGTAACATTAGCCTTTCCTTCCTGTGGTACATGGGTCCCATTATACTTGGTAAAAGCAGCCACAGTAATATCATCCATCAGAAGAAACACACAAAGGACATGCAGAGAAACATGACCAAATAACAAAAAAAACTGTAAAGAACAAGGAACACTCACAAAAAAGAGCAGAAGCAGAGAGATTTGAGAAATACATACAGAAAGATATCTAATAGAAATCTAATGGACGCCTGCGTATTGTTTACTTAAAAGAAAACAGTAACAGATATTTATATTAGGACACAATTCTATACATGCACTGTCAAAATTAGATGCACTGTTAAAATTAGATACCCCCAACTGGCCTTTACCCCCTACCCTCTCTCTCTCTCTCTCTCTCTCTCTCTAATACTAGAGTAATAGGGTTTAGTGGCTGTGTAAAGGGATTATTGCAATCCAATCAGGAGGTGCTGAGATCACCATGTGGCGGCCAAACACTGAATAATCCCCTTACAGCAGGGGAGGGAGGAGGCCTGCAGCTGCCAAAGGTGCTCAATAAAAACTGCTACTGGAGCGGCCATTGTGGCTCTGACGCACCATCCAGAAGCACCTGTAGTAGCGAGCAGCATGAAAGCCAGGCCACATGGGAGGGGACATAATGTGGGAGCCATTTTGGATCGACTGAGACGGAGAATGAAAAGGGGAAGTGGGTGGAAAAATTCACAGCGGGATGCGGTTACTCAGCAGGGAAGGCAGACCAGCTATAGAAAGCAACTTTGCACATGTAATACATTCTTTTTTTGGTATCTTTCATTATCTAATAAACCATGTCCTTTTGATTGAACAGCAATAAGTGAAAGCTCTCACCAGGTTCTATTAAGTCAGATTTTCTCTTTGTCATTTTCAGCAGTCACGGTTCTCAATACTTTTTAAAAAGGTTTTTTGCTTTTTTTAAAAGTCAAGGAGAAAAGAAGGGACATGCCTTGGAAGTATCTAGATGGTCAGTATTAGTAGGTCACAATAAGACCTGATACAGGACCAGACACATGCTTTCCTCTTTGTTTTACTGAGTATTTATCCATGTATTCAGCATATATTATACCTCTGAGAGTTCTGGATATTCCAGCATTAACTCTCCAGTATTTAAAGCAGATCCTATAGTCCAGATTAAATGTGCAATCTGGTGAGTTTTAGGTCTTGAGGAAATCCCTGAAAAACTGGCAAAATAAGATGTGAAATACTGTAGGCCTCAGAATTCTATCCCTAAACCTCTGTCCATCTACTTAGAGCTGGTAAGTCTTTGGCAATCGCTATTTTGGTTGAATTACAATGAAAGATAATAAATGTTAACCAAAAACAAATAACCAAAAAGGAATGGTGCAACTTGGACACAAGTATGTCCACATATAGACCAACTATGGTTGTGTTAAGGGATTCCTTTGCAAAAAACCAGCATGTCTGTAACCGATGCAGTCTCACTCTCAACTCAAATATTGATGCTTGGTCAAAGTCCTCTCTTCATTATTTGACATGTAGTGTGTGAGCCAAGTTGTGGCAGGAATTTGGGAACATTTTCCATGAACTGCAAAAGAAAAAAGTAGCATTTACCCATTCCTTACCCTGATCCCTAAACCCAGAGAAACACTAATATTGATGTCACTATACGCTCCCAAATCTTCCACAATAACTTTGTAGGATAAAATGTAAAAAAAAAAATAGTTTTAGGTCAAGTGCATGTCAGGTGAAACAAAGCCGGCAACCTCTCCTTTACCCTGGGTGTGAATGTATGATAAGAGGGGTAACCCCTTCACATCAGTATGTGTCGTCAATGTTTGATGAGTTTGGAGTGAGAATGTGTTGCTGTAATATGCAGCAGAGGATATGAGTTCAGTTGCTAGAGTGTCCAATGGCTTAGAATTATTTAATCACTTTATTGAGGACACCAATTCAACTGCTTGGTAGTGCAACTGGCAGATACAATACAGAAAGACTGCCCTTGTGACATACTGTACAAGTGCATCAAGAGGATAGCCTTCAGGATTCATTTTCTGGGATCAAATGAAGATGCAAAATGAAAAAAATAAAATAATAATTCCTCTCTATTATATGTACTCTTTGTTGAACAGAAGGCAACTGCGAAACAGGAGGGGGAGCATTGGTAAAGCACGAGCCACGAACCAAATGTTAAAGATTAGGAAAGAAGAAAAAATTACAAAACAAGTTGAAGATAAACCTGACAGCACACATGTTCTGAATCTTGAATTTACTGGTGCAGCGACTTAATCTGCTTCTGGTTGTGACTTGTTCCAAGTGAGAAGCTTCAAATGCTTTAAGGAAGGTTTGACATCATTGTTTTAAATGTCCTTTTTTAACACCTCCACACATTCATTGAAAGAAAACCCTTTTCTTTATTCAGTTACCAAAAATGGTGCTTCCCACACTTCCTCCATGTCTTGGACCATAAGCTCAGAACTTAAAGCTTAGCTGAACGATCCTTGTCCTTGTCCTAGGAACATTTATAACACTGATACTCTTGTTTACTTATAGCTACACATAGTGTTCAAGAGGTTAGAAAGAAGTAGTTTCATGTTTTGTTTAGCTTTTTGTTGACAGTACAGAAAGGGCATTTTGCAGCTCTGTAGCTGAATGACTGTTGAACATATCTGCTGCCTGGCAACTTATTCTACGTTGAGCTAAGAATCTTTTCTTGTTGTTAAATACGTGTAGATTTTGTTAAATGCTGCTTTATTAAGTTAATTAATTAGCTATGCTCCATTGCATTATTTAATAGCATACTTTGTCTTGTCATATTCAGCAGAATTTCACTGAGCTGCAGTTTATTTAGTGCGTTGCATAATAGAAAAAGTAGTGATTTATTTTAATGCAGTCTTTTTTTTTTTTGCTTTGAACATAGAGCTGGAAGTGCATTGAAGTGTGTTCTATCAGCCAGAGACCAGATGAGAGATGCACAACCCAAACAAATCATGACAGCCAATAACACATTAGCAACTTGATGCATTTTGGGCTTTAATCTGTTGAAGATTACCAGTTTGGGTTTGAACTAAGCAGCAGAATAAGAAAAAAAGATAATATAAGGGACTTGACACAAGGCATGGTTCCTGGTACCAGAGAGATGGTTCATACATTTCAGAAGTTAATGATCTGAAGGGATTTCAAGGAATCAATCTCTTTGGGTTTCAGAGAGTGGTCTGAAAAAAGGAAATATTCACTGAAATTTAGTG